ATTTCGAATGACTTAATAAGCCTATAAGAGTAAAACATTTTGATATTTTTCGATGTAAAAACAAATACGATTTTTATACAATTGGTCTATATCGAAAATCTATCAATTAATTTCTTATTTTCACATTCTTTCATATGATAAAAATCATTCAACGATGCATAACGGGTTTTCATTTTTGACCAGACTAATCATATGAATCGTTAATATTCTATTTGGTTTTTTTTTGGATTAGTTTTTTTTCTCTCATATAAACTGTTATCTTATTAAAGAATGAAAAAAGGCACCAGATTGACTCGTTTATAGTCAATAGGAACTTAAACGTGATATCAAAATCAAATAAATACTACTTTTTTTTATTTGACTCGTTCGTAAATATTCAAGATTAAATAGTTTTAAAGAATGTTGATCAAGAACAAAGAAATGTTTTATTATTATAATAAACTATTTCATTCTCAATATTTGAATAACTATTATCATAAAAAGAAAGGATATAATTGAAAATATAGCCTTGAATTTAATGATAGTTTTCACAATAAGAAATTTTCGAACAATCATTTTCTTATAAATAAAGATTGTTTTGTATGCTTACTAATCCTATCATAAAATGAAAGGATGAATGACATAATTAAGGTCGATCTAAAATAATATTTATTATTTTTTTCATTTTGTTTTTTCTTTCGAAGGTTAACAAGAAAGTAAAGAAAAAGAAACATCAATTAACAATAATTTTTTATGGAATAGAACATAAATAAATACTTGTTTCTAATACTTCTATTAATAGAAAATATTTTAAGGAAAAAAATATATACGAATTACTTACTTGGGTATGATCCAATAATAATTGTTGTTGACTATTTGATGATGTTATTTGCTGTTGATTATTAACATTCTTTTTTTTTCTGTTCTTTTTTTTAATTGATATATTTTTATCTAATTTTTTATTGTCATTATCAGTGATAATTATTAATGGTGGACTACGACTTCTAGATGTATTAGTTACGGATGTTTTGTCGACAACAGGCAATGTGATTTTCTTATTTTTATTATCCGTTTTGTTTATGTCGACAACATTAGTAGTAGTAGTATGTGTAAGAATTGTTGGAGTGATGTCATCGACGATAATATTAGTAGTTCTTGGTGAAATATTTGTTGGTTGCAGTTCTTTTTTTTCTTTTCTTTTTTTTTTCTTTTCCCCGTTATTTAGAACATTCATCGCATGCTCAGTAGAAGAATTTCTATTTCCATGTATAACATTCTTTATCGACACTAACGGTTGCTGTTGTTTCATAACCTCAATAGATGAAGAATGTTGCTCAGTTTGTTCCGTAGGCATTGACGATGATGAAATATCTTCATTTATTTTTCCATTAATTAAATCAGATGAATTCTTTTCAGATTGTTCAGTGATAATAGAATTTTGTAATTGTGCACCGGTAGTTGAAGATAATGGAAGAGATTGTTTTGATTTACGTATTCTTCGTCTTTTACTTTTTGTTTGTTTTGTAATAAGATTTTCATTCTCGAGATGTTCAGTTGATTTATCAATAATCATCTCGTCTTCTTTAGATATAGTTAATGATGATTGTTCAGTTTTTATTTTACTATGTCTATGACGACGTCTTTTTCTTTTTGATTTTGTTATCATTGGATTTTGTTCATCTTTTTCTTCGTCGGATTTATTATTATTATTAATATTACCATAAATATGATGCATTTCATTTGAAACACTATCATAATTAAATATATATGGATTATGTTGATAAGCAATATAATTCATATAATGATGAGGTGGTTGAGAATAAAATTGTTGTTGTTGTAAATTATTAAAATAGTTTGATACACTTGCTGTTGTTGGTGTTGGTGTTGGTGTTGATGTTGGTATTGTTGTTGTCAATGGTATTGATTGTCTATTAAATTCATTTTGTAAATTATCAATATTACCAAGTAAATGTGAACAAGATGTTGAATCGAGATTATTTATATGATATGTTTGTATATTAGTTTCAGATGAATCTATTTCATGTATTGTCATTGGCCATGTTGAATGTACTCGTACTTGTTTTTGTGTATCAATATGACCATCTTCATATAAAATACTAACATCACATAATTCTTGTTGATCATGTAATTGAAATTGTGTACGAAATGGTTTTAATTTATTTTCTAATGTACGTGCAGCAATTAATGCTGAATGAGTGTTAGTATTTGGACGACGTGTTTTACGACGTGGTGTACCACGACCACCTAATTTTGTAGTTGGTTGAATTGTTGTTATAAAATTTGGATTATTTTTAATATTTCCTGATGATGTTTCCAATGATTCAGCCATGGAAATCTGAAATATATAAAAGTGATTGATAATTTTTTTTTAATTAATTTTTTTTCTGAGGTAGTTTTCTTTTTATGATAAGGCAAAATGTTACGGACATTATTTTCTGTTATTTATTTTATATTCTAATGATTATTCGTTCTACGTATAAAATATCTTTCAATCGAAAAAAAATGTTTTAATGAGTGCAAAATGAATAAAGATAAAAAGAATGATTATTGATCATAAAATATCTAATCGAAATAGTGCTCACAGAGAAACCGTTTTTATATTTCACTCATGCATACAAATTGTATATTTTAGAAGATAGATAGAAACAGACGTAGTCTCCTATTATCTTCATATATAACAGATGAAAACTTATTGTGTCATATGATTTCATCGTAACGATAACGATTACTAGCATCAATATATTTCAAGGTTAAAGATGCCTTTTTTTGCAATATATATATATATATAAATATATATATACATATATATATATATATACACCTATATACGTATATATTTATATGTACATGCAAAGGTGTACGTTTGTTTGCATATTAGTTCTGCGATCTATTATACCTACTTCAAGCAATTAAATGATCAATCGTTCCTTATTGCTGTCACCACTATCGTTTTTATATATGTATATCTATGTACACCATAGAGTATGTAAGCAAAATTTTGGCGAACAATCACGTTGATCAATTGTAATATTTGGTAGCGTATCGAGAGTCGGTCAAAATTGTATTTTCTATCAAATAAGAGAAAGAGAAAAAGCAAAGAAAATGTATGGTTGATAATATACCACTGTTTGATTTATGTGATTGTCTCTTTCTATTCAAACGTGTGATATGTCTCAAATAAAGAGTCAATGCACGCGCAAGAAATAGATATAAAACAGTCTCATGCTTTTGTTTTCTTTTTTCATTTTTTTTTTCAACAATACATTTATATTCAAACAACTTTATGGTCAACTAGACGATGACTTCGTCAATCACAAGAGCTTTTGACTGAAATCAATACATACGTTATATGAACAATATTGAAGAAAAGAGTAGTAAGAAAAGTATAGAGTGCTTGTATAAATCCCTTTATATGATACGTTATTCTTTTAAACAAAAGACAGGTGTTGTGCTTGTTATTATTACCTCTAACGAAGTATATATATTTGATTAGGATAGATGAATTCGAAGTGTAAATAAACAGGAGAAGTTAAACGAAAATCTTCTCCTTTTAGTTAATACAAATTGGTGAAATTATATTCTTTATATAATTTGATAATTGAATAAAACAATATTTAACATGAATCAAACTCATTGAATTAAATGAGAAGATAATATGTGGGCTTGACCAAGAAGACATCTGAAATAATTTTAAAACAAAAAAAAATGAATTATATTTTCTAATAATTAAAAAAAAAAACGAATCTTGGTTATTCATAGTCTTTCAACTACATAGACACTCTATTGAGTGTATTTTCATTGAAGTAATACAGAAGAACATAATGATATACAAATAATTTTACAAAAAAAAAGAGTAGTAGGCAATTTTGATTGCTCAATCATCAATAAACTCAAGTGTACTTTTATTTCGTCTATTTTAATTTCATATTGCACCACTTATTCTATAGTTTGAATTGAGTTGAAAACTGATAAAACTACCACTGTCTATTCTTACTACTTACACTTTTATTTCATCTCACCTATGGCGGAACGCGTGTACATACTTGTGTATTTATATATATGTTACATATATAAGCTCTCCAGAAAATGGGTCGCGAGGCAATGAAAAAAAACACCTAAGAATGTCCATATATACGTACATATATACAAGTTGTTTAATAATTCATTTTCACATTCATATTTATTTCAAGCCAAATCCCGTCATGATTTATCAAACAAAAATTTCGATGAACAAATGAAAACGATTTCAGTTGTGTTATTATATTTTGCGTATGAACGATATGAGAAAAAAGATAATATCATAATTATTGAATAAGAAAAAAAATTGGCTATTTTCTTGTTTTTTATCATTTTACAACGTCTCATTAGACATATGATATGACAAGTTCAATGAATTTCAAATATGTGAAGCTGAAAAAAAAATCCCAAAAAAAAAAGTACATATTCTTTTTTTGTCTGTCATACTTATCTTTACATTTGAAAATATTCGCAACCAATCCAATGAACTTGTTAATCGGGTCATAGAATACTATTATATGTGACACTTGTTCATACGAAAATAAAGGAAATTATCCATCCAATCAATCATCAATTCATATATATGTATATATATATATTGATTATATGTACCATATAAAAAATTGCTCTAACTACATAGTTTAAACACATATAAGTGTGTGAGACAAAGAAAAAAAAAACGAAAGCCAGACAACACCTTTTAGTCTTGCTCATTCATTGACTAGTTGCATGATGTAAAAAAAATATTGTATGATATTCACAATAATCAAACAAACCCATTTTCTTGTGATTTAGAAGACTCTTCTCTTTCTCTTTCTCTATATATACTCATCTATTTCATGCATATGAATTGCTATATGTACACTGTTCAATATATTCAATCGGCTCGCAAAAGACGAACGTAGTTAAAAAAAAAAAAAGAAGAAGAAAAGAATATATTTGTCCCACTCTCTGTTTCATTTTAAATATGATGTGTATGGTCTACTCTTATTTTACTCGCTGATTACACCGTAAAGAGGCGGAGTGATGCGGTTGAACAACAAGATGAATAAGCTACTACACATGCGTGTAATAGTTACATTTGTATAAAGACCTATTTCAAGTTTTATAGTCAATAAACACTTATTTTATTAATAGATAAGATCATATGAATAATAATAAAATATTAAAAAATTTCGTCCCATGGATTTTTTTATATTTATGTTTGCTCTTTTCTCCTTTCATTAAAATTCTTGCAGCCCGTACATGAGTATTGACCATGAAAAAATTGTGTGCGTGCGTGCGTGCGTGCATGTGTGTGAGAAAGAGAATATTTAAGTCTTTTTGTATTTGACGGTCGTTTTCATGTTACGGTGGTGCAAGAAGAAATATAAGAAAAAAAGAATGCTGCAAAAAAAAGAAAAATAACAAATTTTTTTTTCTGTATACATACGACTCGATTTTTTTATGCTTGTCGATAATGTCACACACTACTACTTATGAGAGAAACTAATCATGCTTTTTAATATTAAACATAGTGACTTAT